ACTGGCTTGGTCTAAATCCTCCTCTGAATGAGGTGTCTTTTTGTCTTTGTTTTTTCTTCTTCATTTATTTTTATTAGTTGGAGGCTAATTACTTTACAATATTGTGGTGGTTTTTGCCATACATTGACATGAATCAGCCATGGATTTACATGTGTTCCCCATCCTGAACCCCCCTCCCACCTCCCTCCCCATCCCATCCCTCTGGGTCATCCCAGTGCACCAGCCCCGAGCACTTCTCTCATGCATCCAGCCTGGGCTGGTGATCTGTTTCACACTTGATAATATACATGTTTCGATGCTGTTCTCTCAGATCATCCCGCCCTCGCCTTCTCCCACAGAGTCCACAATCAGACTTTGGGGACTTCTCTCTTTTGTGAGGGGAAGGGAGAAGCAGGTTTCTATCTGGTCTCTCTAGTTCCAGCCTTTACTGGCTCACTGGCCGAAGGATCAGCCGCCTTTATTCTTCAGCAGGTGGGAGGTGGGAGGGGGTTCCGTCTTCCTAATAGTAAATTAGTTTTCTTGCTGAAAATACATATCCCTTCAAAACATGCAACATGAGGGCTTTTCTTGAAAATGAAAATACTCTTCAGAGGTTAAACTGTATCAGATATTTCAACCTTGTTAAAAATCAGACAGACAAAATGAATCATTCTGCAGACCGAGAAACAACTCAATTCAATATTTATCAAGAAACTACTGGGAGCCTCTAGGCACTGTTCGTGGTGCTGGAATACAGCCTACATCCAGGAAACACTAGAGGGCGCACGAGAGTTTCCACTTTCGGGAAACTGCACAAGGCAACTACGGAGTGGGGGACCTTTGCAAAACCAAAGGGAAGCCTGTGAAAGCCAGGTATCTGCTGAGCAGAGCAGCAGAGCGCAGAACAGCAGCAGCAAGACCTTCACTGGAAGGGCGCTTCTGCCTCAGACCTGAGAGGCAATCCGAGCGTCACAAGAGATCTGCGGACCTGGTGCTCCTATAAAGACGCCCCAGCCAGGTGTTTGTTCCATCCTAACACACGTACCAAGGGTTCCCCAGATAGGCCACGCTATGAGCTAGGTGAGACAGGTATTATCACTACAAATGAGATGGCTGAAGCTCAGAATGAAGTTGCCTTCCTGAAGTCAAGCTGCCTTAAACAGTTAGCCTGGGTCTAGAACTCGAGCGTCCAAGCTGAAGTCTGGAGGCACACGTGTATCACCCACAAAGAGGCTTCTCACGTGCTCTCATCTTTGTGTGCTCTCGTAATACAGAAGATAGGACATCCTGCAGAAATGCAGCTGACAAGCAGGAGCCACAAAGACGTGGGAGCTACACAGACCTTAAGAATCAAACTTCTGGGATCCCCGTCTCCAAGTTCTAAAACCCAACTGACTGTAAGCTGTGTGTGTGTTCTCATTTAGCCATGTCCAACTCTTTGCAACTCCATGGACTGTATCTCACCGGCTCCTCATGGGATTTTCCTGGCAAGAATACTGGAATGGGTTGCCACTTCCTTGTCCAGGGGAATCTTCCTGACCCAGGAATTGAACCTGCATCTCCTGCATTGCAGGAGAATTCTTTACCACTGGGCCACCAGGGAAGCCTGATTGTAAGCTGTACCATCAACTTAATAATATTTCAAAACAAGGAGGAAAGACTATGTGAAATACACAGATGAACTATGTAAACCAATTGGAGAGATGGCAAAGTGATTAAGTTAGCTCTTAGAAGTGAGAAAATGGGTGGTGATTAAGTGTAAAAGAGTATACTCTAGAACCGCAAGTGATGTCAGAGATTAGTGTTTAGCTATTTTACAGATGAAGAAACTAAGGCTTGGCCCCATCAATGCTTTAAACAAATAAGGAGCAGACTAGAACACGGATATTGAGTCTTACTCCAGTGGTCCTTCATCCAGCCCCAGAACTGTATGTATAATTATACTATAAAATTATGTATATCCTTAGAAAAGACTGTGCAGTGTTTGAGTTTGAGTCTGTCTTACACAGATACTAGCCAGCCCCCAATGTGGCTGGCATGGGAGACAGAGGCAGTGAGTGATCAAAGTGCCCCAGTGGTCCTAGGAACCCTTTTACCTAATGGAAGGAAAATCATGAAGCAAAACATAATTCAGAGCATCAATGACTATGGAAATCAGTGACTTTTTTTTCCATTCTGTGAGAATATTTTAGAATTAATGCAGACAGTTCTGCTTCCTCACCAACTATATAAAGACAATGTACCCACTGCCTCTGAGCAACACGGGGCTCAAAAGAAAAGGGTGGTGTTTTTTTTTTAAACTAGACATTAATGTGGGTTTAGAAAAACAAAGTAATGAGTCTTTCCTGCACAGATGGATTCTCTCTATTCCACAACTTTAAAATAGTAAAGTCCTATAAAGCAAATAAAGTAAGATGTGCATGACTAAAATTTGAGGATGTGTCTGTTGAATAAAACAAGATACATTTTTCTAAGTGAAAAGTTACTCAGACTTTCTGTAATCTGATTTGGACAAAGACAAACTCCAGTCACATCAGTAGAAAAATACAGAGTTAAGATACTGGTTAAACATGACATTTCCTCTCAACCAACACTTCTAATCTTCTAAGAAATACCAAATTACGGGGAAAGAAAGGGCTTACAGTAAGAACTAAAGTAAAACCAGATTTGTACAAGGTTTCTTTTTTTGTGGGGGGGGGGGGGGGG